TGGAACGACGGAGCTTGCAAACCCTTGAGTCTCCGGGGAGACGAAATCCCTCGGGTACCTTCATGTAGACTTCTTCATCAAGGTCACCATGGAGAAATGCGTTGTTAACGTCAAGCTGATGTAGGGGCCATTGGCGGGATGCAGCAACTGCAATGAGACAACGTACTGTGACGAGCTTTGCTACAGGGGCAAATGTTTCATGAAAATCGATGCCAGGAATCTGTGTGAAGCCTTTAGCTACCAGTCGCGCCTTGTAGCGTTCAACCTCACCATTCGGTTTAAACTTGACTTTGTACACCCATTTGGAGTCTATGGCATGTTTTCCAGGTGGAAGTGTTGTGAGCACCCAAGTGTGATTCGCTTCCAAAGCAGCGATTTCTTTTTGCATAGCCGCTCGCCAATAAGAATGTTTTGCTGCCTGTTTGTATGTCTTAGGCTCATCCACAGTGGAGATGGCTGACAGGTAAGCAATATGATGTGAAGAAAGGCGTTCATAAGATACATAGTTTGCCATAGGATATACCTCAGAAGAAGTGATTGGCGGAGTTGACTCATTGACAACAAGCGACGGTGGGAGAGACGTGTCAAAGCCTTGCAGAGCAGTAGTTTAGCAGCGTTGGCGATCACTGCGACGTGGAGGGGCATCAGAAGATGGAGTGGCACCAGACGATGTAGCGGCAGAAGTGTCTACAATGTTTGTGACAGTTGCTTCTGTAGGCTGGAAATTTCCGGGTGAAGGCATGTCTACTGGTGGAGGTAGCTCGATTGGTGTTTCGAGTGGCTCGTATGGATGTTAAAGGTCAGGTGAATTGGTTGGGCCAAGAGGCCAATAGAGTGGTGTTTCCTGGAATGGAAACATTTCTTCTTGAAAAATTACATCGCGTGAGATGACTATCTTTCGCTGCTCAAGTAAGTAAATCTTGTAGCCCTTTTGTCCATGAGGATATCCCAAGAAAATACCTTTGCTCCCCTTTCATCGAACTTTCTTTTCCCCGATGATTGTCATGAGCATATGCCAAGCAACCAAATACTTTCATATGGTCATAAGAGGGTGAATGGCCAAGAAGTACCTCATAAGGTGTAAGATTATTGAGTACTGTGGAGGGAATCCGATTGATGATATATGCAGCCGTAAGTATGCATTCTCCCCAGAACCGGATAGGGAGGCTAGATTGAAAATGAAGTGCACGGGCTACTTCGAGAATATGACGATGTTTGCGCTCCACCACTCCATTTTGTTGTGGTGTGTCGGTGCACGAGCTCTCCAAAAGGATCCCTTCTGCCGCATAGTAATCTCGAATCGTTTGTGATTTGAACTCTAAGCCATTGTCAGAGCGAACCCGTTTGACAGCTACTCCAAATTGATTTTTGACCATGTTGCAAAATGAAGGTAATAATTGGCCCACTTTCGACTTATGCTTCATGAGATAAATCCAAACACCACGGCTAAAATCATCAACGATGGTGAGAAAATAATGAGCTCTGGATAAGCTGGAGGTCTTGTAATCTCCCCATATGTCACAATGGATTAACTCAAAGCAACGCGTGGTTTTATTGTGCTTAATGGAAAAGGTAATCGGGTCTGCTTGGCTCGCACACACGCCTCACAGTGACCGAGCTTATTTGAGAAATCCAACTTGGAAGTAGCCGATAAATTGTGGAGCTTGCCTGAGGAAGCATGTCCCAACCGCCGATGCCATAAAGCCACACAATCCGTCTTCTTGGTTGCCATGGTGACCCGCTCTTTTGACACGTCTTCCCACACGTACAAGCCATCATTGAGTTACTCACTCCAATCAGCTTCTTCGTTGGTAAGTCCTTGTGCCACAGCCAAATCCGAGAAAAAGGTTACGGCGCAATTATGATCTTTAGTGAGCCGACTAACAGAAATTAAATTGCACTTGAATTGAGGAGCATTTAGAACTCCTTGTAATTTAAGTCCGTTGTTGAAGCAAATGTCACCGATGCCAACAATCGGGACTTTGGACCATTTGCGACCTTCACAAATACCGCTGGTGAATTTTTCGTTCCTTGCAAAGAATGCTCATCAAAAGTAATGTGATCTGTGGATGCAGAGTCTAGAGCCCAAGCTAATGTGGGATTACCAGTCATGTTGGCCTGAGGTTGGAGTGGTTGATTCGGCCCACTTGGACTTGTATCTGGGCCCAAAATTTTGAGAAGTTTCTCAACTTTCTCCTGGGAAAGGCCAAAGTTCACATTAGGGATTGCTCCCACTTGAGCCACATGCGGCTCTCCCTCCTGCGAGAATCGCCGCCGCCTCTTCCCCAATTTTCCCAAGTTCCGCCGCTGCTCCCCCTGGTTTCCGAGCTGCCACCGCGATAGCCGCTCCTCTCTCTGCCTGTACGTTTGTTTCCATCGGGTCTTCCCACCAGCTGATAACAAGTTTCCTTGCGATGGCCTGGTCGGCCACAAACTTCGCACCGCTGTCGGTCGCGCCTTTCTCTATCGCGGCGCTCTGCTTCGCGGCGAGCACCTTGCTCCCTGTTCGTGGTCGGCCTGTGCGTCTGGAAGGCTGACGCTCCCTCGTCACCGGTCATAGGTCGCTGGGAAAGGGCACGCCGCTGCTCGTCTTCTAAGGTTAGGTGAAAGACGGCGGCAAGGGATGGCACGGGCTGAAGGCTGAGAATGTGAGTGATGATGTTCCCGAAATCGGCATTCAGCCCCATGAGAAAATCATAGACCTGCTCCTTCTCTTTTGCTTCACACCAATCTTTCTGCGTCCCACAGGTGCACGGCGGCAATGGTGAGATTGTTCTGAGTTCGTCCCATAGCGACCTCAGCTTGGTGTAATAAGTGGACACCGACATGGTGTCTTGCCGGAGATGACTGATGGCTCGCCACAGTTCGTAGGCACGGGGTGCGCTTCCCTTGGCGAACCTCTCTTTCAGATCCTGCCAGATCTCACAGGCAGTGGAGGCGTACAGGACGCTGCTCTGAATCTCCTTTGACATGGCTGTTTTGAGCCAACCAATGACCAGTGCATCGCACTGTTTCCAGGCCGCTTGATTTGAGGATCCCTCGGCCGGTTTGGGGATTGATCCGTCGACGAAGCCAAATTTATTTTTGGCGAGTAGGCCATATGTCATGTCAACTACCCATTCTCCATAGTTGGTAGCGTGGAGGGGTTCAGCGACAAATGGATGGCCGGAGGTGTCTGATTGCTGCACGAAGTATGGTGACTTCTCGGCAGCACTTGATTCTGCAGTTTTGCCGGCAGCAGCGGCATTGAGAGCTTCCTTCGACATAGCCAACGAGGTAAGCTAAAATGACCAACTACAAGTGTTTTAGCGAAGTCGTGTGGATCACCGCTCTGATACCATGTAAGAATTCAGTTTATTGAATTGAGATAAAATGAACATCTAAGCTACTGATTTATACAGAGTAGTGTGCTGCTATCATTGGGAAAGAAGTATAAAAGAAAGCTATCGACTATTAATGGAATGTGGGTGAACATTATCCCACATTATCTCATATTATCTAGACTTGAATGCTAACTGTTGGGAAAGCAGTGAGCTGTCTGCTCACATGGTTTCTGTGATCTCCAATATAAACAATGACCAGGATGATGGCTGGTGCAGCAACAGTTCGCACAACAGCTGCAGCGGCAGAATTGATGGTGGTCGTTGCTGCTAACGATGGCATTGAAGCTAGGGATAACTCCTCACCGGCGGCAGGTTCCAATGAGGTAGAGATGTCAAGAACCAGTTGATCCCAATAACTCGGGTTGTTGGGAGAGGTTCAATCGTAGATCGTATACCACAACACTAACACGCCCCTTCAAACGAAAGCCACTCACAAGGGCTTGAAGTTTGCACAGGTCTGAATACCATGTGCTTAACAAATGGAGGTCACCGGGAATCGAACACAAGACCTCTTGGTCACATAAGGCCCTGATACCATGTCAAGAACCAGTTGATCCCAATAACTCGGGTTGTTGGAGAGGTTCAATCGTAGATCATATACCATTTACTAACAAGAGATTGTTGGGGCTAGGGCTAGCTCCCCGGTTGATGGTTGAGCGGCCACGGATGTCGCTACCTCCTCGTGTACAATGGCGCCAAGGATTAGGTACTGGGGATTAGGTAACAGACGGAGAGGGCTTCGCGCGCGATTAGGATGCCGCGCCAAATATCTTCCTAGTGCGTTCCACCGTTTGAATTTTGGAGTTGGACTTCCATTCCATTTACTTGGTGAATTATGTTTGACAACTGAGACTGACTGGACGTGTGGTCTTCCAGTTTAAAGTTTAAGTTTGTTTCTCAGTTTAGTTAGTTGACAGAAAAAGATTAAAACAAGGCATCATGAAAACAAAACATCAAAGTATGCAAGTTGTCTAGGCAATTAGATAGTTTTAAATTAATTAATGGTAAACTATATTTGATTATCACACATTTAACTTTTTACAACATTATCGGCTTTAGTGTAGCTTAAAATGTATAAATAGGCAACATAATATTATTTGGGCTATAAACGTTGTGTATAATATCGCAAATGTAACAGAATTCGATTGATAACTTATTTATGTTATATAAAGTAGGGGTGGCAGTCGGTCGGTTTCGGTTTAAACGAAAACCGAAATCCCGGTTATCGGTTAAACCGAGCCACCTTGCATACATGCCGACCACCGACCGTGAGAGTGGTCACGGTTAGCCGGCCAACCGACCGGTCGGTTTCGGTTTTAGGCTGGTTAACCGGCCAACCGGAAAATACCCTTTATAAAAAAAAATTAAAACCAACAAAATTCTGAACCACTCACTCCGCACCCTCTCAATTCTCGATTCTTCTTCTTCCTATCCACTTTCCAGAGCAACCGCCGACCGCCCTCTCACCATCTCGATTCTTCTTCTTCCTTTCACCATCTCGATTCTTCTTCTTCTTTTCTTTCCCCCCATCACCAAACCAACTGAAACAAGGAAGGAAAAAGAAAGAAAGAAAGAAAAGGAAGTTAACGATCTAATTCTTCTTCCCTGGGGGATCCTATGAACGGCAGAATTGTCGTCACGCAATCCCCGTTGATGGATTTAGACATGCAATCCATGGCGGCGGCGATCGGGGTCTCCGTCCCCGTTCTCCGCTTCCTGCTCTGCTTCGCGGCGACTATTCCGGTGAGTTTCTTCCACCGGGTTGTCCGTCCTAGGAACAGAGACTCCGGCTGCGCAGAATTGGTTGCTGCGGTCCTTGGAGAGGAAGGAGAAGACAGGGGAGAGGCACCCGACTCGATGATTATGCACTTAATCTGGATCCTACTACAAATCACGTTTCTGCTGTCAATCTTGTTGTGTATCTGGAGCTCGATTACGAGTTACCGACTTTCGGATGTTCTGGGTCGGGTTAATTTTGTCTGAGGGTAGTCGCTGAATTTGTTGTGGTTGATTCTTTGAGATTTGGTTGGAGAAGGAATCGGTAGGTTGAACGGCGATTGGAGTTGGGAGCAGGTGGATTGGAGGGAGGCGGCTGGGGATTTGGGAGATGGGACGAAGTTGCTAGGGTTGGGGATTTGGGGATGGGGTGTTTTATGTAAGGCAAAAACGGCGTCGTTTAGGCCTGCCGGTTAGTGTCGGTTAGCAGGTTTAACCGGCGTCGGTTTTTCGGCTAACCGCCTAACCACGGAGAGCCTCCGACAACCGACCGTGCCCAATTTTTTTCGGTTTCCGGTTAGCCGCTAACCGGCGGTTAACGAATAGACCGGCCGGTTAGCCGCTAACCGGAAACCGAAATGACAGCCCTAATATAAAGTATCTTTTAAGTAATACTTTTAAAAAATGTTGCTGTTATTAATTTTAAGCAACATCTTTAATTTGTGTTGCAAACATAGTGTGGCGAAAACCACTTTTCTCGTAGTGGCGGCGTCTTTGACTACATAATGAAATATTGTATTTCAATTAATTGCTACTAATGCCAAAAATAACAAGTATATGGCTAAACCACGCATAAAAGATTTCAAACATCACAAATATTATAAATAAACTAACTATTATCAATGATAAATAAAAAAAAACATTCAACCTATAAGGTTAGTTCATGCTTTAAACTGTTTTATTTTTCTAAAGAATCAAAATGTATAATCAAGTTCATCCTTACTAATCACTTGTCCTAGCCACACAAATTTATTAACACATCCAAAAATGATAAAAAGAACCTATATTTCAAACTCAATCTCGTCTCATGATTGTTGAGCACAATAATGCCATACTAGCAAAAGATTTAAGGTTAAGGATTAACCAGACTAAAGTTTTCAGAGAACAGATCACTTATTGTTTGCAGAATAATATCGTTGCTTCATCGTTGTTCTACAAATTGATACTAAATTAAGAGCTCCACATACTTTTACATATTTAATACTGCAATATTCAAATCAATGATATTTGAGTTGCAATTTTAAGATAATAAAAATATGAAAATGAAAGTATCAAACACCAAATAATGCTTAAGAGATTTAGTGGGCTAGTTAACCGTAGGGAGAAGTTCTATGATTTTAGATTTCTACTTTATGTATTTTATTAATTTAGAAAGATACAATCAAAAAATTTAGTGTAATTGATTATCATTATTTTTATTGAAGATATCCTGGTTCAAATCTCAACGGTGATGTATTTTTTATAAATAAGAAATAAATTACTATAATGACGAATATACCCTTTCTACTTTCACTCTGTTGCAAGAAATTTTAAATTGAGGAAAATAAATAATTGAATTTCCATAATATAAATGTTGTTGAGATACCGACCCATATTTCCTATTGTTTGGTCGGTTGCTTTCTTGCTATACTACGAATTGAATATATTTATCTTATTTGACAACGATACTCTCTATATACTGCTAATTAAACCATGATTATATCATGTCGTACTGTGACTGTCGACATTGTTGTGGGGTGTTACTGTGAATCTCATTGGCGGAGGGAAGATTCTGCCGGAGATCGAAGTTTCCCTGTCATTCACCATCATTCAAATCAAGGAGATCCTGGCCTCCCGCCTCAGTATCACGACTTCAAGGCAACAAATGTTTTATGATGGCACTCATATCAACAACAATGAAACACTCGAGTCATATGAGTTCGAAAATGATGATGAATCTGATGTGGAGCTGAATCTTAAGGTGAAGCCACTGCATGATGATCGCAAGATCAAAATCGAGGCAAGGAATAACTATTTTATCAAAAGGAAGACTATCGAAGTGTGCGAGAATGACACTATACGTAGCTGATTTGAAGAGGAAATTAACAAAGAAAATGAAGACTATTGCTTCCCTTCTAACTTTGTCATGTCAAGGTGAGGAGATGTGGATAGGGATGACTTGGTCTCAAACTACTATGTTAGTGGAAACACCGTGATTGAGGTTGTTGAGTCTAAGTATGCATGAGTGACCAGGTGGAAACTTAGATTAATGATTTGAATAAGGAAGTTAAAAACTGGCAAATTACTTTTATGTCTTTTCTTTTCCTTTGTCTTTGATTGATTAGACTACAATTATTATTAATATAAAAATTGAAAAAATATATTTTTTTTCGTAGCATTGAAGGGCTTCATAAATAAAGAAGGGCATTATTTTGTCTTACGAACATCAACATGCTCCTTTTGAGCCAAATTGTCACATCGGATTCCGATCATCAAATCATAACAACAAGTGCATAGACCAAATTTAGAGTACACATATTAAAGTGATATGGACTTAAAGGTTAAAAAAATTCATTAATTAATCTTAATTGATTAATTAATGCATTAAGATTGATTAGATGCAGGCCTAAAAAGGCTCAATTTATTAGGAAATTGCCTTTAATGCACGATCAAACCAATGTGAGATAGTCCTAAGAAAGTATAAAGAAACGAGACTTCAACCCGGGATCGGTTAGCTTGACTACCCCATGGAGGGGACTGATTTTCGACACCCCCATCCAAAACCGTCCATCTAAATTAGTGGTAATGTAGGGTGAGGATTGAGCAGCCTTTTTTGTGCATTAAATCCTTCATTAGCTGGCATCACCCACATTGGAAAGGGGAAGAAATTTGGGGACTGGGAAAAAACGATTTGACTTTCCCCTTTTGATTATTCCCCTTTTGTCTCTCCCACCAGACGACCAACCCTCCTCCTTCCATCACCAGCAGCCGGCCATCTTCAACCTTCCTCGGCGACAACAATGGAGGTTATTCCTTCCACCGATCGAGAATCAACCTGCCAACCAACTCCTTTCCTCTTCCCTTTTGCTTTGTTTCCGTCAACCACCTTCCATCGGCGACACGACTTTGAAGAACTAACGATTTCATGGAACTAGTCTCCGTCCTCCCGAAATCGATAGTAGGTGTTGGGTTTTACTCCCTTACATTTTCCTCTTTCTACTCTTCTTTCTATATTTTTTAGGTCTTTCTTCTGACTACCCTCCTCACCTTCTCGGCGAAGATGACGGCCTCCTCCCCTTCCCGATGACGACGACGAAGAATCTAAGGTAGCTCTCTCTCCCAAACCCAGATCTGGATTTTCGTGTGGTATTAGCACTAGTTCAATGGTATTTTCATTACCCAGATATATGTCTTTGAGTTTCTAGGTCTGGATTTTTTCATGTGGTATTAGTACCAGTGTACTGGTATTGATACCGGTGTAATGTTACCACTGCAATGGTAGTTCTACCACTGTCTGAGTTTCAGTTGAACGTTATCAGTGATAAGCTTTTATCACTACAGTGACATAGTGTGTCTTTCGTTGCAGTGGTAGATATATCACTGTAGTGGTAGATCTCTCGTTGCAATGGTAGATCTATCACTATGGTGGTAGTTCGTTGTTATGTTTTTGTGTGTAGGGCTATCACTGTAGTGGTACTAAAAAAATCATTATTGATCTCATATTTTATCACTAAATTGATAATTCTGATTATTGTGTGTACCAATGACAATAGGAATGACAAGGACGAAGAGACTGTATCCTGCGGTTCCAACAGGGAAGAGACTTGCAAGCTATGTTTCTAGGGTAGAAGTAGGGGTATGTCAGACTCTTTCCTCAAGTAAGGGTACCAGCAAGAAACAGCGTCGTGAGAGCCGGGATAAGAACAACAAGATAGGGGAAGAGGAAACGTACCGATGATGTTAGGGCAGAAGTACATCCCACAAACAATTTCTTAGTGACTTCAATAGTTGCATTTGCTGGATATTTTATAGTTGTTGGCATTTCCCTTTTTTTATAACACATTGTACTGCACGGTGAGTGGTAATACTAATGAGAAGTTGCTTGTTTGTTTACGTATCAGATTGGTTGTACATGTATCAGTTCAATGCTACATGTATCAGTGCAGTGGTATGTGTATCAGTTCACTGGTATATAATTAGTTCAGTGATACATGTACCTTTTCAATGGCATAACTCCAAAGTATATCTAACACTACAATGGGAACATTTAGGATGAGTTTCAATTTTGCTAATGGTACAAGTAGAAAAGTATGACTTGAATAATTGCACTGGTACTTTTATCAGCCTAGTGGTACGTGTACCACTTCAGTGATACATGTATCAGTACAATGGTATATGTACCACAACAGTGGTACATATTCACGGCAGTGTCATCGTCATTGAAATATTTTGGTCTCCACCGCTTTTGAAGTTTGGAATTGATTTTATTATTTTTCTTTGTCGTATTATTGGTTAACTTCTTTCAATTTCATGGAAATATCTTTGCCGACGAGTAATGGAATAGAAATGGTATTCGCACAACTTCAGCGGTAATCATATACTTCAGTGGTACATATATACTACTGAACTTGTATTATACCACTAGACTGGTATACATATCAATTAACTGGTACTTATACCACTATATTGATACTTATACCACTGAACTTGTACTAATTAAGACTGTCCTCAATATACCAATACTCATACTTGATCATGAAATATAATTCTGGCACAAGAAACACAAGAAACATTTCAATCAGTCAACAAAATAGGAACTTTCCATTAGTAGCCAAAAACTGTGTTCACAATTTTTTTAAGCCTAAACAGAACATATGGTTACTAGTATCACTCCACTGGTACACGTACCACTCCACTGGTATACGTACCACTCCACTGGTACACTTACCACTCCACTGGTACATGTACCAGTCCATTGGTGTGTTTCCTCTGCCGCCTAGTGGTACCACCCTCACCTTCAGATCCTGTCGCCGCCACTTAGGGTTGATCGAATCTCTACCGTGGAAGGACGGTGGTCAACAAGAAAAGATCAAGCGCATGTCGTGGATAAGAGGAAGTCGTTGGAAGGTGATGTTTGGGATGGAAGACGGAGGACGGCCGACGGCCGACAACATGGATGGTTGGACCTATTGTAAGGGCGGCGGGATATCCCCTGCGTGTCTTCCTCCTCCGACGAGCAACCCACCAGGCGGGTCGGAGGCGATCCCACTGCGACGCTGCCCGATGTTTCCGATCGCCGTCGAGTTTTGCAGAGTAGAGAGTCGGATTGCTATTTGGAGAAAATATGGGGAATATTGGACTTGGAAGAGCAATCGACGCTTTCCCCATCCAACATAATTGCTCCTTCCCAATTAGTTTTTAATTATTGATAACTTTCCCAAATTACAAGATTATGAAAAAATACAAAAGCAAATGTAATTAATAATTGTCAAATGATTGAGAAAAACTGACCAATGAAATGGGGTGTCAAAAATCAGACCCCTTTGGGGTAGGCATAGTATCCGACCCCCTTCAACCCATCAAGACTCTTGGAAGCACCCTCCTAATTAGAAAGCAACGATACTTGAACCCATCAAGAATCTTACAATATTTCAATATATATTATGAATCTTTAACTTGCAAGAATAGTTTATTGATAATAAATGGGTTATAGGTATAATATGCCCCTCTACTATGACGTTTTATCAAACATGCCCCTCTACTATTTTTTACATCAAACATGCCCCTGTACTTTGAAAAAATTATCAAGCATGCCCTTTTGTTAAGATTTCCATTGATAAAATCGTCAATCATGGTTGAACCGAGATTTAGACTTCCCGACATCGGCAAATGGGAGCGAAAATGTCAGTTTTTTCTCCCGTTTTATTTCTCTGGGTCTCTTCAGAGTGAAATCATTTGGCTATACAAAAGAACAAAAAAAATTCTAAAGTGAAATTATTAGGAATATTTTAGACATTTGTGCCGCCCAAACCAAAGTTCGACCTTAGTTAACGGTTTTGGATGAAAATTTAAACAAAAGGGCATGTTTGATCATTTTTACAAAGTACAGGGGCATGTTTGATGTAAAAAATAGTATAAGGGCATGTTTGATAAAACGTCATAGTAGAGGGGCATATTATACCTATAACCCATAATAAATATTAGCAATCAACATTCTTACAATTTAACAACTTTGAATATAAGTTCCAACTTTTCACTCAAGATGACCACCATAACCTTGAACACCACTCGAGGGAAAATCGTGCCCGAGTTTAAATATTTATAGGCATCTACCATACTCTACGTAAAGGAAAGCATCCACACTCGTCTTGGAATAAGGGTTGAAAGACAGAAGGTATCCTAAAATGGGAGTTCTCTTGAAGACGTTAGAAGCTTCAAATTTGGAGGATGAAGGATCTGTGGTGAAGTTGGACCTTCATACTCATCGTTGCTCACAAGATCTGCTGATCACACAAGATCCAGATAAAGGACAACCATGATGAGAAGGCAACTGCAAAAATTTGAGAAAGTGACCGTACGTGTTAAGGGGATGAAGGGGAAGATTGCAAAGATGAATCTAACCACGGGTGGAAATGGATGATAATTAAATCACTATATGATTACTATATTAGTGAGGATACGTTAGTTGATGTTGTTGAAGGAATTAGGTATGTTTATTAGTTGGTTGAATGGGTGATTAGGCTAATGTAATTGGACAGACACCGTTGCTAGGTGAGGCTATCATATATTAACTATTTGAATTGTCGTATTCTGTTGAAAATAAACACTCGGCTGTGTTTTGGATAATAAATTAATATTGTGTCATGAATCTTGAAGCATGTACTATCGTAAAAAATGAATCTTGAGAAAATTATGTTGCTTTAGGCTATGTTTGATCAAGAATTTTGAGTGTTCATCATGAACAAACATGACAAGTATATGGTTTTGCTGACAGTGGGGGGAGATAAGGAAAAAAATTATTCTCAATCTTACTTGATAGGTTGAAGAAGAAGTTAAAGCACTGGAAGGCGAAGACGTACGATGTCGATCGTAGCGAAAGAGGTTCTTTTAGAGTCGATAACTCATGTGCAATTCACTTATGTAATCTCACTATTTATTATACCATAAGGATTATCAAAAGTGCTCATAGTCTAATCTCAAACTTCTAGTGGGTTCAACGAGGACTGAACGTCAAACTCACTGGATCATATAGGAGGAACTTCGTCGCTCGAAGGCGGAAGGAAGGAACTTTGTCGCTCGATGAAATGTCCCTTCCAAGATATCTCACTTAGCTAACGGCATCTCTAAGAAAATTGTTAGCAAGGCACGAATGATGCAAGAACCATAGCCGGAAAGGATTGTATATCGTGACGATCAAATCAATACTATATTTCAGATGGTTTACCTGTGGCATGTGCTATATGCATTGGATGTATCCACCTCCTGAACTCCTCCTCTAGACGCCTTTCCATATATAATTAGCTTGTAGCCAACGTCCAATGTTATAGCGATAGCCAAAACATGCCTCTCCAAAACATGCCTCGTGAACTCCTCCTCTTATTATCAATTAACAACCATTGATAATAAGGAAATAATTAAATGAGACAATATGGAAATGGTCTTAATTAACAATCATCCCAAAATTCTTTAATTAACCCACAAATATCCGTTTCCGCAATTAACAACCGTTGATAATTAGAAAATAATTAAATGAGACAATGTAAGTTGTATTAAATAATTATCCCTAATTAACAATCATCTTCATTTGAACGAATGCAATGTAAGTTGTATTAAATAATTATACAAAACATTGTACATAATAGTGCTAATTAAATTGATAGAATTAGGTAGATTGGTGATAAAATAACATGTCTAATTCCATTTCCCTAATTGACAACCGTAAAAAATATTCCTTAATTAACACGTCTTTCCTTAATTAACACGTATAATTCTATAACCTACATCTAATGTCATTTCCTTAATTGACATCCCAAAAAAGAATCTTAACTAACATGTCCTACTCCATGACTCACGAGTCACGTCTAATTTCATCTCTCCAATTAATAATAGTAAAAATTCTCTTAATTAACACTACTAAGCACGAAAAAAGGATATTTTGTATTATTAATGACGATCCAAACATTTTCCTTAATGAAACCATACGTGGGTATTGGTTCTGATAATTCTAAATATTAATTATTTATTGATTTGTATACTATTTATAATTATCCATAATTTATTTATATAATGAGGGTTGGATTTTTACCAATTAGCGTTTAAGGATATTACGGTTTGACTTTCACCAATTAAGATTTTGCCGCCCGGTAGATTACTATTTGCCGCCCACAATTTTAGAAATCTATATTAAATTTTAACAATTTATGGATTTATTTAATTTTTTGAATAGTTCTAAAATATATATTAAATTTTTTATAAAACTTTACCCAAGGAATCGGGTTGCGGAGAGGACTATTTGTGATTGTGGAAGGTTGGAAAAATGCATCCTTTTGCAATTACTAGAGCCATCAACATGAAAAATTATAGAAACTCTCACCGATCCCTTAAAATGTGAATATGATTGTAGTGGAATTGACCGTTTCTCGATTGAACGTACCAGACATAAAATGATGAATAGTGTTCAAATTTACGTCGATATTTTCGGGGCTCTGTGGGTCGTAACGAGGTGCTTTATGACCCTACCACGTGTATTTTAACGATGCTAATGATTGTTGTTAGTGGATGCATAGAAGATTTTGCCTCTAAAACAATGTCGTAGTAGCATTCGATGGATCGATATTGAAGGTAGCTATTTTATTGGAATGAGGGTTTAGGGTTAGGGAGGTGTAGACGGTGTAAGATTGGATGGAGTCGAGTTGGTTTGTTATACGTCATTTTGGGTCGGATTGATTCAAATGTGGTCAAATCCTAATTAAGTCAAATCCTACCTAATTAGTAAAGGTCAAACCCTATCTCGCTAGAACCTAATTGGTCAAAATCAAATCATAATCTATGATTGAATCACTAATCTAACTAATTT